AAACATAGGAGTACCTGCTGGCATCCCATTGTGCCTACGGGCTGGCAAGAATGACCACATGTGCAACGGGACTTTTGCACTTTCAGAAACAACCCAAAATGAATAGAAACGCTAATTTCAGGAATGGGGCAGAGCACTGGAGCTTTCCTAGCCCCACCTGGAGGTGTCAGGGACTGAAACCAGGATGTTCTGCGTGCAACCCAAGTGCATATACCAGTGAACCATGGCAGACTAGAGGGAAGATTGAGAAACGGGAATTGCTAGAAGTTCTTGTCTGAAAATCTGGAAGGCACGAGGCTGGACTAGACTGTGGCCAAAGAAGCAAGAACTAAGGAAAGAGACCCAAGGATGAACACAGGAGGACCTGAAGAAAATGTCGGCCTGGGCTGTGCATTATGGGCAGGAAGGCTGTGAACATACAAGGAGGCTCTGGGAATCTGGAAGGGGGCGGCAAAAGTGCGCTAAGTCCAAAGTCCAGACTATGCCAAGAGACCTTCAGCTTTCCAGCAGTGTGACCGTCAGCCCCTATGGAGAGCCAATGCAACAGCAAGTAAACAGAGGGGTGACATTGACTTTCACACATTGATTTGAACTCATTCTCCAGTTCATTGGCTACAGCTACCCAGCAGGATGGGCTTAAAGGACTTTCCAGACTTTATCTTGGTCTTTCTCAGAGTGGCCTTCACTGCCACACCTTCACAGAGAACAGTGTTACTGGGTGGCATATAAATGCTGCCAACCAACCAACCAACCATTCAGTCAAAAAAGCAAGCAAGGAAACAAACAAACAAGTCAGGTTGCAGTAATGAGTTAAATTTTGATGTTTATTGTCACACTAGATCTCCTGGTATGGAGAATGCATCCTATTCTGGATCACAGATTAGTATTGCTTTGCAGCCTAAGTCTGGATCAGAAGACCGTGTGCACATCAGATGATTATACAGCTTTATTATGTATGCAGCTAAAATATTGCAATTGGTTGTAATGTTTGAAAGAACACACGCAATGAGTTAAGAAATGAACAGCTGTTTCCTGAGTCCCAGGCTAAGCATGACAAGGATATCTCTTGGATGCAGGAAACAGTAAAAGTGATCTGTGTACACTTACATCATGCACACATTTTATTTAACTACTATAGTTCCCAAATATAAAAATTCATAACATACAACAGGGTACACAATATTTTCTATACAGAAAGAGCAATGGTGAAGAAAATTTGTCTTGTGAAACAAGGCTGATGCTTGGGTTGTGGCGTGTTGATGCACTGAAGCCACGATCCCATTGACTGAGGAACATGATTAAAATTAATAGGTAAGATGATCAGCCAAGAAGGGGAAATAATAGCAGAGACACATTTGGAATTAGTATTAACGCACTTATGTCCTACAGGGAATAATTAGTGTGCTTCTTGGAGGAATACAGTACAAGTGTGGAAATTAAAGTACAAAACACTTATTTCCCTCGATGCCCAACGTCCAAGGAAGGGTTGAAAACTCCCTGTCTCAGAAACTTGACTTTTTAACAAAAAGCTTTTAAAGCAATAAATGGACTCCTTGACATTAGCCAGACTTCTCTTTTGGCTTCCATGCCACAGGAATATATATAGTTAAAGCTCAGAGGTTTGTGTACAGTAGCTGACTTCAAGTAAGCAAAGACATTCAAGGTGCGTGAAAGATAAGTGCTTCTCAAGAGGAAGACTAAATCGCAAGAGAGAGGTGATTAACAAGGTGAACATGTTCATTTCAACTTTAAAACAGCATTCAAGCCAGATGGCGACACAAGAACCTCCAAGCATCAACAAACCATCAGGTGGCACGCGGAGCACTAACGAAGCTGCATGCCAGCAGGCACCAAAACCGCGTTGCTGGATTCAGCCCAGCTCCCTCCTGTGAGCCGTGCACTACAGCCCTCCACCAGCTTCGTGGAATACATTAGCTGCGGCTTGTTCAGATGACGGACCGACGCAACTGCATCAACTTGCAGGGAAGCAGGGAAACCATCGCACAGGTGGGAATATGCAACATCTGATGTGCAGCGATATCAGATGACTTGGATGATACTGATGTGACAGCATCAAGGGCAGGAGGCCAGCTGGGCAGATGTCCTGCGCTTGAGTTATGCTGTCCTCGGACAGTAAATGTAAAAACCTCTGAACTCAAGATAGCATCAGTACATACATGGCAGAGGAGCTTTGGGTTTTACTGTCTTGCTAGCTAACCAGCTCTGAGAAATGAATCAAGGTGGGTTACAAAAATGTCAGGAAGTCAAAATAATCAAACAAGAACACAGTAAAACATTTAAAAACATCATCAGCATGAACACTGGTTTGAGAGTCATGTTAAAAAGATAGCTAAGAAGCAGGAAAAGTGGGAAGGGAAGGATATGGCTTTACTGACAACCCCATACCTTTCTGCCTCCAATCCCTTCCACTAATCAAGTCTGAAAGCAGACAGAAGATGCTGCTGAAGAGGTGAGGTTAACGAATACCTGTTTCTAGAGCTCTAGAATTTTCTGAACTGAAGGACCATATGAAGGCCACAAAAGAGATCACGTGCTAGGCCACCCTTTGTCTCCTGTTTATTATCCGCCGGATAGTGCTGAGAATAAATTAGAAGATTGGTATGGACAATAAACTATGCATATATTTGATAACTGGGATTTACTGGAAAAATATATAGGGCACCTGACAAATTTCTCCAGTCACTGTAAAGAAAGGTAGCTTCTTCAACCTCTTGTGCAAAATGTTTATACTTTCAATATTAGCAGGGAGATGCCATTTTATCACCATGATCATTTACTGTACTCTGGTTTGTTCCATTACACAGAAGAATATAAAGTTTTGAAACCATATTTGTACAAATCTACTAAACAAGGTCATTTGGACAGCAAACAAGACAGGATAAAAAGACCAAGCTGGAAAATTGTGGTCCTTCATTGCACCATAATATCACTAAATACTTTTGTAACTTTACCCATTTTGCTCATTTTGCCCATTTTTAAATTTCAGTTCTGCCCCTTCTTCAACCCAGCAGTTTCCCAGTCTATATAGTTGATCTTCTGAACAGCAATCATCCCCATTCTGTTTTCACTGCTAGAGCAAAATACATTTTCCACAGTAACAGACGGCCATCGGCATTGGTGTTTGGCCTACCTACAGAATTAGTTGAGGTATTCAAAACATGTGGAGGAATGTGCAACGCAGGATCTCCCTGACATGTTTGCACCTCTCAACACCAGTTTTGCTGTGGTGGTACCAGCAGGATGAAATAAGGAACTCTCTGTGGTTTGTAAGCAAAACTCAACTGCATAGAAGCCCCACACGTGTTCTCGCACGATCAGTTTTACCTTAAACCATGGGTCCCCAAACTACGGTCCACAGACTGGATCTGGCCTGCCATGCCCATTTTTCCAGCCCGCCATAGCTCACCATGTGTGCGCGCATTTGTGCACGTGGCAAGGTGCTGGCTTGCTCGCAAGATCGTTTTGGACTCGTTGGGAGAAAATGACCATTACGCACGTATGCCCCTGCCTTTCTGCATGTGCACCCCCCCAGCTCGCCCCCCCCCCCCCCCCACACTGCCTTGGCGGCCTGCGCCCATCCCTGGCACCTTTCCACTGGCCGCCAATTCAAAAAGACCCCTGCCTTAAACTATGCATGAAACGAAATTGTTCAAACCAAATTGCACTCCCAGCACATGCAGTGACATGGTGGTGGTGGTGGCAAGGAGGCAGCTCCTGCGTGATATGGGGGGCTACACAGCTCCCACAATTCCCTGGAGTTACCCATCCTTGATGTAGGCCCTGATTTCATGAAAGTTAGTCATGATTAATAACCAGCCTAGATGCAACACCCTCACACAGTGAGCAATGGCATGAATGGCTTTTTAAAAGTAAACATCAGGCAAGGATCCCCTGTTCTGGATCAAGAAACTACTATGGGGCTTTAGCTTGTCATTTCTTTGACTCCAATCCATATTGGGGACCCCACTCCTGCTATTTACACGAGGAGAAATGCACTAACTGAATCTAATTCAATCTGTGAAATTTTAATTCTAATTCTAAGAGTCTAATTGAAACCAATGAGACATTAGTCCCAATTCACAGGCAGCTGCTAGCTTTTAGTGAAATGTAGCCACAAGTAATTTTATCTTGATCTGGGCCTTAATGTATTCCCGTTCCCCAATATTGATTTCTTTATTGTATTTATTTGCTGCTCCATAGCCCAGTAGGCTGTCTGGGCAGTTTACAATAAAACAGGAGAAAGAGCAATAAAATAAGAGTTAAAGGCATAAAATACAATTAAAAAAATACAAAAACTAGGAATCTGCAAAAATTTCAAGAAGGCACATAGAAATTAAAACAATGTCAAAATCAACCCCCACTAAAACACCAGATTGAATATAAACATTGTTACCTGATGCCAAAAACCTAGCAGCAACTTCCTTGGGGAGGGTGTTCCATAAATGAGGTGCAATCACGGAGAAGGCCCTTCTCCTAGCTACTTCCCCCTTCACTTCATTGGGAGATGGTTCACGGAGAAGGACCTCCCTCGAAGATCTTAGTGATTGCAAAGGGATATATGAAGAAAGGCAGTCCCTCAGATTCCCCAGTTATCCTTTGCAGCATGGGTGGGGGCCCACGGTCCTCCTGGCGCTGTTAGCCTGCAACTTTCACCCCCTTCACATTGCCTATACCAGCCAGGGCTGATAGGAGTCGCAGTCTGGCAGCATCTGGAGAAGCCCAGGTTCCCAACTCTTACTTTATGGGAACTATCAGTGAAAGGAAGCTGTTCCAAAATTATAGCTGGTATACTGTAGGGGCACATGGGGGTCGTGCGTTCCATCAGCTTAAAAAAGTGCAGAATAAGGTACTACCCACAACCTGGCTTGAAGCCACAAGAGAAAGAAGGGGAGAAGAGCCGTGAATCTTACACTCCCTGATACCAACCCTCATTATTTCCTTGTTAGGCAAACTAAGAAATCACGAGCCTTAGCAGTTACCTCCAGGAAGAAATGGGACTCATAGCGAGCTTTATAATCCGTTTCTATCGCCAAAAAGATTGCATTGAGCGTGATGGTGCTGATCATAATGGACTTAAACAGAGGATGGTAGAATATTTTTTCAATGAATTGGTAGAGATCATTGTCTCTTCTCCTGGAAAGGGAAAATAATGAGAGAGTTAAATCCATAGAATGGAGAACATTTCCATTGTCTTGACAGTAAAGCAGATCTCTAAACCAGCGAAGCCATTGCTCATTCAATGAAAGACAAGTTCGTACCACGCTATGAGAAATGCTTGTGCTCAGAAATGCTTCTGATTTTTATGGATTTTTTTTTTTTTACTTCTGAAAGGTTTTATATACTTCTTTCCTTTATAAAAAAAAAATCCTAAAGTAGTTCACTAAAGTAACATCTACAAAATACACTGAACTTGATCAATAATAATTACACAATGGCAGAACTCAACTTTCCATTAAAATCTCCAAGGGCCACCAGCCAAGGGTCACCAGGCAAACTGGTGTCAGCAGAAATATTCCAAACTAGGATAGAACTGCTGGGACAGTTCAGTTCAAGAATGGGGAAGGTGCAGCCCTCTGAATTTTGTTGGGCTGCAGTTCCCACAATCTGTCACAATTGGCTATGCTTGCTAAGGATTATGGTAATTGCAGTCCCCCATCTAGAAGGCTACCATTCCCCAGCCCCACCTTCCTGGGAGAAAGACAGGAGAGTGAAACCCTGTTGATTCTCCTGGATCTCTCAGCGATTTTCCGTGCCATCAACCATGGTATCCTTGTGGACAGGCTGGCTGGGGTGAGAGAGGGAGGCATTGCACTGGAGTGGTCCCACTCCTACCTGGCTGGCTGGTTGCAGGTGGTGGTGCTGCGGGACTATTGTTCTGTGCTATGTCAGTTCTGCAGTGGGGTACCACAGGGCTCCATTGTATCCCCATGTTGTCTAATGACTACATGAAACCGCTGGGAGAGATAATGTCATGAGCGGAGCTGGCTGGAGCTGGAGGTCAGACTAGATGGCCCGGGAGACCCCTTCTGACTCGCTCTGTTTCTATGTTTCTATAACCTGGAGGTATGTGCCGAGTACCACCAATATGCAGATGACATGCAGCTGTACATCTCATTTTCATCAAGCCCGGGTGAGGCAGTGGCCACTCTGAATTGGTGTCTGAACATGATAATTGGATTGGATGAGGGCCAATGAACTGAGACTCAACCTAGACAGGATGAAGATGCTGTTAGTGGGTGGTTTGTCTGTCTAGCTGGATGATATTCAACCTGTTACAGGTGGCATTGCACTCCCCCTAAGGACAAGGTGTGTAGTTTGCAGGTGCTCCTGGACCCAGTCTGGTCGCTTGAGGCCCAGGTAGACTCAGTAGCATGGAGCACCTTTGATCAGCTTCAGCTGTTCTACTTAACTATGACCCTGCCTGAACACAAGAGAGCTTAGCTACAGCAATCCATACTCTGGTAACCTCCTGCTTGGATTACGACAATGCGCCATACATGGAGATGCCTTTGAAAATGGTCCAGAAACTCCAACTGAGCCAAAACAGGACAGCAAAACTGTTAATGGGGACTGGCTTAGGAGCACACATTACACCCATCCTCTTCCAGCTACAGGGACTGCCAGTTGAAGTCTATTCAGTGCTAGCATTAACATTCAAATCCCTAAATGGCTTGGGGCTCAGTTGTCTGAAGGACTGCCTCCTCCCATGTGTACCTACCTGGACTCACCATCTCCAGGAGGCCCTTCAAAGGAAGCGAGGTGGGTGGCCACCAGAAGAGCCTTTTCCGGCGAGGCACCCCTGCTGTGGAATAAGCACCTCAAAGAGGTATGTCTGGTGCCTACTTTGTATTCCTTTTGGTGCCAGGTGACACCCTTTTTATTTTTTCAGCATTTTAACATTTTAGCTTGGTTTATATATATATTATTTTATATGCATTTTATTCTGTCCTGCTGCTATGCTGATTCCATCACAATTGTGCTTTTGTGTGTGTCTTTTTAAATATTTGTTTAACTGGATTTTTTGTTAACTGTCCAGAGAGCCTTGGCTATTTGGTATAGAAAGGCAGTAAAGAAATAAAGGACGAGAGCCCTCCAGGTGCAATGCATGATTGCACAGTCCTTCCTAATTCATGCCCAAATGCCCCATCATTTAACTCTCCTGCTCTCTTACCTTCCGAACACTGGTTTTGAATTCAACTTGTAAGTGAAACCTGCTTAGCATTAACACTGAGGCAGAAGTGAGACAAGCCTTCCCCGTGACCAAGATCCACAGCGAAAGAACTTGACGCCTTGACATCAGAGCTAAGAGACTGTGAGGCAGCCACACTGGCTCAGTGGAATCATGATAGCGCAGAGAAGCCAAGAAGTGCCACATTATTATCTGGGTGGACCACTGTTTCCAATTTGCTGAGTTAAAACAAAAACCAGAAATGCCGTTCACACACGGACTCAGAAAGGCTTCATTTTACAGTGTATGGGATAAAAGTTACTAGAGTTGCTTTCCGATGAGGTTTTTATTGTGCCATCAGCCTGCCTCATTCATGGAATTTTACCAGGGGACCAGGCATCTCTCCCTTGTAACCCTCCCATGTTTTTCCACTGCTGCTTCTTTCTTTCCACACACCCACCAACGAGGAAAAGACTGAATAACTGCACAACCCCTTTGGACTGACAGCTCTTCTTTGGCCTCAGAAAACCAGTCACTCCCTGAGCCTCTGTAGAAATCGCTCAACCCATCTGTGCCCATCGATTAGAAACCAAGAGTGGCGATCTACAGAAACGTAAGACGACACTGTAAAATCTATCCCACCTATGTTTCACAGACTGTCAAGCACATTTCATTCCATCATCTGCTCATTGACAGCACTGAATTTTGTAAATGCTCATGAGTATGTATCCGTGCAAATTAAAAGTTGTACAAATTTACACTCCTGAGAATGTACCCCCCAGAAAATCCAATTTCCTGAAAAATTCATATTCTTACCCTTTAGCCTATGGGGTAACTATGCACTTTTGGTGTATGTTCTGCATTTTGTAAAAGACAAAACTAAATTTGTGTAAAATTACCTAAAAGCTTTAAAAGTTTTTCTGTAAGTCTGCAGAAATTGCACAGATCTGAAGAAGTCAATCTGCTGTGGATGTGTGTGTCAGATTCTTAGAAATGTGAACTCATCCGAGTCTATTGCAGATTTCTCTGAGATTCTGTGTATGTTCCCAGGAAGGGGTACATCAAACCCAGCCTCCCTCTTGTATAGCCTCCTTACACACAAGACTGCAAATGAATGTGCAGGTAGTCTATCCTTGCCTCTAGTTAGCACACTGAGAGCCAGCCAGCTGGAGTCTTCCTGCTCAGAAGAAGGATTTGCACTCCCTTCCCTTCTGCTGGCTTTATATCACTCAAATGCCCGATGTTCTTTCTTGGAAGAACCTGCCCTTCGGAGGAGTGCTACTTCACTCGGACCTGCAGCAGGATTGCCTCCTCTTTCAGAAGTGACCCTTCTGGCCTGAGGCCGATGTGCCACTTCCACAAAAGAGGTTAAGCTCAGGTTTGGATACACCTGCAGTCTATTCCTGCTAGGAAGTTCCAAGTTCCTTGTCAAAGGAAACCAGTCAGCTATTCTTCCCTCTTCTGTCTTGGCTCAAAGAGTTTTCCTCTCCGCCTTCCAGCCCCTCTTTCCCACCTGCCTTCTCCCACTTCTGCTGCCCCCCAGGATGTCAGCGCCCCCTCTGGACTACCTGATCAGCCTCAGGCCCCTCCAGGCAGGACTCCATTTCACCTTTATCCTCAGGCCTCGCTGCCTGGGCATTTGCAGCCAGAACATAAGGCTGACTTGACCCAAGAAGTCCTGGTGGCCTGTTACACATTCCTAACAGCAGGTCAGGCTTTGGTCCATTTGTCTCAGTTACTCTCTGCTCTGACTGGCAGATCACTCTCTGGGGTGTGCGGCAGAGGGATATTAAAGTGTCACTACAACTGATCTGGATCCTAGATCCAGCGACTGAGCCTGGGACCAGGTGTGCTACTCACCGAGTGACAGTCAAATCACAGAATGCAATAGGCTGCCCCCTCTAAGAGAAGGAAGCTCTGCTGCTTCTGCACATTGGAAATACGCCATGACCCAGCCATACCTGCACGGAATTGGCTACCATTGAAAGAGGCAGACCTTCATGAAGCATTGCCCTACCCTTGTCTCCTTTCAGAGATTCAGCAGCAACCTTCCCTCTGGGATGGGAAGCGCTCTGGGCTTACAGGTGTCTCAGAAGGGGTCCCAAAGGTTACCTGGTGCAAATCCCCAGCCAAAGCAGGGAAACCGGGTATATATTCCTAAATAACCTTTTGGAAAGAATGGTCCTGTGGCCCCTAGGCAGCATCTATGACTTTCCAATTCCTAGATGTGAGGCCCAGGGGCTGAGCTCCAACCGCAGAGCTGGGCACCAGAGCTCTGAGACCTCCCGTGTCCCCTTGCAGCCAGCACAGAAAGACCCAGGCCAGCTGCTCTCCAAAGTTAGGAAAGTGGCCTCAGAAAGAGGGGAAGGGGAGGCGCTTAGGGGAATGGGGAGGGGAAGAAACTGAGGGGGAGCAGAATTATATTATTTTTTACATTTCTATAGCTCTCCACAGTCAAATGTAAATTCTGCAGCTGCTCAGAATACTTCTCTCCCGCTTTAAAATCTTCTAGCTAGATGGCTGAAAAATCTCATCTAGCAAAAATGTAGACCAGGAGGACAAGAAGGCAGATTTTCACTGCTGCTGTTCCCCCTGCTCTGCACGAAATGTCTGGATATGGGGGCTTACAAGCACCTCAGTAATATTGTGCCCTGCAGGGACATGATTCTTTTTTATTTGTGTGAGCAGTATCTGAACTTATGTTGGTTCAAGAACAGCTGTAGCAACTTCATTTTCCATCCAGAAAAATAATGGGTGTGTTAGCACTTGTAGTGAAGTCACAAAAGACAACTGTACAGCTTATTAAAAATTGATGGCATCTTTCCTAGAAGAATCTTACCCAGTTTGAAACATGGAACAAGTTTGCTGTGCATGTGCGGTCAGCAAACCAGGATGCCTTAAACGTTAGCCTCCAAGTCTTGGTAAAACCTTTAAATTGGTATTTCTTGGCAATGTGACCAGGCATCCTGGCCAAACTGCCTTAAATGAGAAACCTGAAGCCATCATACTTCAGGCACATCATGAGAAGACAAAATCACTTGAGAAGACATTCATGGTAGGGAAAGTTGACGGCAGAAGAAGAGAGAGACCAAACACAGGATGGTTCCATTCCATAAAAGAAGTCAAAGCCTTGAACTTACAAGAGCTAAGTGTAGATATCAAGGACAGAGTATTTTGGAAGGTATTCATAGGATTGCCATAAGTCAGAAATTATTTGAGAGCACAACAATGTGCGACAGTTTTATAAGGTTCTTTACTGTCAGAAAATACTTCCTGGCATCCAGACTGAACCTTGGTTCCCTGAGCTGTGCATAGCAGACTGTGGCTACCAGATTTTTTGGTTCAAAGGTCTGTGGAACACCTTCAGAGAAAAAAGCAGCATGTGAAGCAGGATTACAAGAACCTGACTGAAAACTTACCTATACCCAAACAAATATTGTTTCACCTCAACTTCAGAGCCAGACTTAAAAGCCTCAAAAGATAGCTTGTCGATAAGCTGACGTCCTTCAGGCAATTCTGTTGCCTCTACAACCATATTTCCAGATGTTTGAACTTCACTTATGAAGGCAGGTCCCAGGTGTGCATGTGTGCACGCTTGTGCTAAAGCCTTTAAACACACTGGAGACTAGAACAAAAATCCCAGTTGAAAAAGAATGGAACTTCTTATGTGAACTCACAAAGTATTCACTGCTACAGTTCTAGAATGTCACATGTAAGCTCCAGAATAAATTTGAATTCTCTAATAACAAAATAGTTATTAAAGGCATGAGGAACACCAAATTTCAAGCTTTTCAGGGCACAATCTTACAGCCTCCTGGCCTCAAATGGGAGACTATAGGGTTTTTTCAGAATCTAAGCACCAAATTGCTCCAACCTCAGTGGACTCCCAAGGCCAAATCTACCCTGCCTCCTTTGATGCCAGCAAAGAAAGAATGGTGCCACATTGGAACTTGGAGGAGGGAAAAAAGATCATGTCAGGGGGCAGGAAGGGGAGATGCTGGGACCAGAGAATTGCTTTGATTCCAATCTGTGCCCAATTCCAGACTGAAAACATCCATCTAGATAAAATGGAGGCTGCAAAGCATGGATGGCACTGTCTTGGATGTTCTGAGCTAGGAGGCTTCCATGTATCTGCTATGGGAGTGGAGAAAGTCAGAAATCTTAAGCACCCTTACATGGAATTAGAGAGACTGTCACCTGGTTCATATTTTTAACTGAACTGACCTAGTTCACACTTCCAGGACTAACATGAGGATCAGAACCAAATTATTCTTCAGACTGTACATGTCCCCAAATTTTGTGATAAATATGGAACCATATTAAATACGAATTCCAACACGAGTATTGTTTTAGCATGCAGACCCAACAAGTGTGGATTATGTGAAGGTTAAACAAACCTCAGATAACCCATGATTGGCTCCAAGCTATGTGAGGGTTGCATGATAGAACGCTGAAGCTAAGGTCATCTAGCATGGCTAGCTGGGGCGTGCTGGGGGCTACAGTCTCTTTTTTGCTTAACCTTGCACAGAGTTGTGACCTAAATTAGGTTTCGCCAACTTTGTGCCTTCCATAACTTCTAAAATGTCTGCATCATCCAGGGCTAGGGGATGCTTGGAGTTGTAGTCTAATACATTTGGAAGGCAAAAAGTTGGGGAAAGCTACACTAAGTTCAGAGATCCAAAATCAGTTATAACTTTGGATGACAAAGGACTCATGAAAACTAGATGAGGTTGGAAGTACAATTTCCATATAAAAATAAAAGAATTATTGTATTATCCCAGCTTACCAGGGAGGGGAGTCTAGTCTTTACGTGGAGTTTATGGTTTTTGTTCAAGATATCCCAAGTTTGATAGAAGTATGTACCTCCCTTATCCTTTAAAGACAAAGTCAATCTGTCCATTTTCATGCAGTCCAAAATCTTTTTTAAGATCAACTCTTCAGTAGGTGGCTCTTCGCTTCTCCAATGTTGGACAAATGCAATCCTCGCCGCAGTAGTTATATGTAGAGTCAAATATATAGCTTATTTATCAAAATTATCAGCAACAATACCTAATAAAAAGACTTCAGGTTTAAATGTTAACAGTTTATGCAGCATTTCCTCAAGCCATTTGTGTATTTTAACCCAGTTTTTTTTGCCTTAATACAGGTCCACCACAAATGATAAAAAGTACCAGGTTTATGCTTACATTTCCAACATCTATTTGACATATTTGGAAACATTTTTGCTAATCTATTTGGTGATAGATACCATCTGTAAAACATTTTATAAAGGTTTTCTTTATATGAAGATGCTAAGGTTATCTTAATATTTCTTTCCCACAGCTTTTGCCATTTCTATAACTCAATACCATATCTAAAGTTTTATGCCCATATTATCATAGTTTCTTTAACTTGTTCATCTACCATTTTATAAGTGCCCCTATCATAATCTCTATGTAGCTATTTTATCATAAAAAGAACAAAAAAAATAGCATGCTGAAAATAAACACCCCCCCCCAGGGCCTACATAAACCAACATCCTGTAACATCCAACATATGGTATCCTGAATAGATGGATTTGTTTCATGAGAGTATATATAAACATAAACTCTATAAATCAAAGGATTCCAGGAAGTAGATACTGTTTATGCTCAATCACTTTGTTACTTATATGGCCAATAAAAATGATACAAAATTTAATTATGCGTGCAGAAATTATAGAGTTCAATTATTTTCATCCAGACATTCACATTTTTCTTCTCCTTTAAAACACAGGATGCGTATGTGTGTATAAATTCTACAGTGGCCTTTTAAGAAGCAGAATAAATACCTTATCTTCCAAACACATGTTTCTAAGATATCTTCAAACAGACAATGTTCCCTTAACTCAGACTAGAGTTTGAAACACCCCTTCCAGAAGTAAGTCCTTCTGAAAACAGGTGGAGAAAATTCATCTGGGGCAGAGAGGAATACAAGTTCAATTCAGCGTCCATAAAAACACAGATTCCTGTTCAGACCTCCCCAAACCTAGGTCTAAAAGGGATTGCTAAGTTTGAAACAAATTCAAACATAGATCTGAAAAGGCCTTATGGGGCTTCCTGGTCACATGGAACGTGCTTCTAAGCGCATTCACCCAAATGCAGGTAGGAATTCTTTTCAGACCTAACATCCAAAGGGGTGGCTGCATTTGTCTGCTGCAGTGAAAACAACAAAACATCTTGAAGTAGGTTGAACATGCGCCCAGGCAGGCATGCATGTGGCTACTTGGAGGTTCACCCTGACAATGTGCTGTGCACACGATCTTTTAAATTTATGTTACCAAGTACTAATTAAAATACCAGATATACCAGTGTATAAGGCAACTAGTATGCAAGCCAAGGTCGATATGTTGGCCTGTTTTTCCATTGTTTGTCATATGCTAGGTGTATAGGATGACTCTGAATTTTTGCTTTGCTATTTTTGATTTCATGGGTCATCTTATCCACTGATAAATACAATAATAATGTGTGGAACAAGCAACCAAGAAATATGTTTCAAAAAAATACCTGTATATATTGGCATGTAAGACGAGGTCAGTAATTTGGATATTTACATATGTCAACCCCCAATTTTCACTTTGCTATTTTCAGTTTCAAGGGTCATCTTATATGTGGGTATATATGGTAGGCACCATAGTGTAAGAGGAATCAAAATCCAGAAACAAGGATTTTGAAAGAGTAATATGAAGTGCTTATTCACATTGAAAAAATCAAAACTATTTTAATAATTTAAAGGAAAACTTGCATTTATAGGGTGAAAGAAAGTCCACATATACTATAAACTAGCAATCCTAGCAAAAATAGGATTTTACCTTTACCAGTAGTAGCAAGAATGCAAAACAAGCTGTATAATTTTTGTGTGTCTATCTACATATGGAGAAAGAGGAGGGGAAAAACATACATTATGATTCAATGAGAAGATTTCAATGGGTGGGAGCATTGCAACTGAGCAAATTTTAGGGAAATGTGAGGAGCAGGTTAGATTATACAGGAAAGTCATGATTTTCTTTTAAAGAAGATTTAAGGATGGAAGAGAAAATATTCATGGACATAGGAGGAAGGGTAAGTCACATCTGGAAGAAAATGCAAAGACCAAGTCGCCTAGCAAGTTGTTCCAGGGAAAAGAGATCTGATGAAAAATTAAGCATTTAAACCGGGGGTGTCTAACCCCTGGCCCACGGGCCATGTGTGGCCCAGGATGGCTATGAATGTGGCCCAACACAAAATTGTAAACTTAACTTTCTTGAGCGTGAACTTTGTAGACAACAATATTGTGTCGTGATGTCACATAAAATAAACGTACGTCTGTTCTTGCTATATGTACGCGTGTGTGGCTTCAGTTTTACGGTGGTGTGTGGCTTCCAGTGTGCTATCTTCCAAGCGCAGACAGTTGAAATGACACCATCAGATGTTACATGTGCTCATAGTGACTTGGCAAGTGAAACGCAGCTATTATCAATGATATTTCAACCTACCATTGCAAACAATTTTATACATTTCAACATGTTGGCTAAACACAGTCCTGTGAACAGCGAAAAATATGCAGCCTTGCTTTTCGGTTTGATAGAAGAAGTTGAAAACAGATTTCAGAATTTCTGGGAAAATAAGCACTATTTTGGTATATTTACAACTCCCATTTTCAGTCAACATAAATATGTTACCTGCCAATGTTCAAATGGAATGCATAGAGCTACAATCTGACATTCAGCTTAAAGAAAAAATTGATCATGGACTTTTATAGGTGCTATCCTTCCAGAGACAAATATCCTTTAAATCACAATCACTTCTTGTTCATGTCTTCACTTTTTGGCAGCACCTACATTTGTGAGCAACTAAGAGTAAAATTAGAACCAGAATATCTGATGAGCACCTTGAGAACTCACTGAGAATTTCAGCTACTTCCATTGAACCAGATATTGATGCATTAGTTTCTCAAATACGATGTCAAATATCCCACTAGTTTTAAGTTGCCCTCTTTTACTTTTATAATAAAATATTTAAAAAATCAATGAAGTTTTATTACTTAGATATGTTCATTTTCTATATTAGTTATTGCAACTTGGGACCTGCTCGACGATTTTAAAAGACTCTCCAAACAGAGCATCGCATAATTAGGATTATTATGTGAAGACTTTTTTGCTTATCTGTGGTAGTGGAGATCACAAAAATTATGCACAGACCTTTTTTTTTCTTTTTTTGCTCATCAGCTTTCATTAGTGTTTGCGTATTTAACGTGCAGCCCAATATCATTTTTCTTCTTTCAGTGTAGCCCAGAAAAGCCAAAAGGTTGGACATTCCTCATTTAAATTTTGGTGAGAACCTTCATTTTTCTTTTATTGGGAAGAACCAACATTACCATTTTATTTTTCAACTAAAGGATTGGTCGGCCAATTCTAAATTATTGCAAAATGCTGCATTTGGAACCTTGGAGAAGCAACCAGCATGGTTTTTTCCATGCTGGCTTGCAGGGGGCTCCAAGCAAAGATCCTACATCCTTCGCTGGAGTGATTTTCCAAGC